TATATTTTTTCCAAAGAAATCAGAATAAATGATTTTTATTGTTAAATGGTTTGAATAAACTCAGATGGTTTGAAAAGTATTCTTGACAAGTAAGCATAGATAATTTCAAGGTAAAGTTATAAAGATTACCATAAATTTATAAAAATAAATAAAAAATGGAAAAAGAAACTATCAATTTCTACTAGTTTCCAAAGTCCTAAAACAAGACTTTGTTTTTGACAAAACTTGTGTACACACATATACACACATAAACTTATTTGTGAGCACACCTGCGTACCTCTGCACTTGTGTGTGTGTGCATGTATGTGTGTGTGTGTGTGTGTGTGTGATGTACACACAAACCCATATATGGGGGTTTGTGGTTTATAGCTAGGACCCCAATTAAAGATGGAAACCTATTAAATAAAACTTAGCTGGATATTTCTTAAAAGCTTTCAGGGAAAAATAATTGCCTAATCAACTTACTGGAGAAAAGATATGATTATTAATGAATAAAACTATAAGCATGTTCATTCTGAAACCCTCGAGAATATGCCAAAAATGGTATCTCATTTTCACTTCTCAAAATTAAGTAGATCAGATAAACCATTTGTTTTGCTCTGGAATATTTAGCTCTTTAATGGTAAAAATCGAATCTGTATTTTTAAAATCATTTGCATTTCTCCAAGCATTGACCTATTTTATAGTGCTTGTCATCATGTACTTTGCTGTACAACATTTCATACTAGAAATGATAAATTGCCAGAAAGTATGTACAATTGTTGTATAATGCTATCATATTCTGTTCTGACTACTAAAATTCAAATTCAGAAATCTCATTATGCTTTACATATAGATTGAATCATGTCAGCCTTTTAAGTTTTAAATTATTTAATTTTCTTAAAGGAAAAAAAAAATCCATCCATTTTGTATAGCCCAGGGGACTAGAAAATCATAAGCATTTCTATCTATAAATAACTTAGACTGTATTTGAAATTTAAATTTATAATCATAATTAGTATTCAAGCCATTTTCACAGATTACAGAAGAGTATTCCCTTCACGACTTCCAAAAAAAATCATATTGAAAATTACCTTCCTTTGGAATGGACTTCAGTTAACATTTAGTTGTCTGACTAATATTCTTCTGATTTCTGATACAACATATTTTCTACACTTTACTGAGATGGAAATATGCCAATATTTTCAGTTTCTCTGAACATGCTTTCAAGACATCCTATTATCCCATGGCTAACTTCTTCCATTTGGTTCACTGATAATGGGGATTTAACTAAAGTACCCATAGTTTGATTTTTGTATTTTTCTTTCTTTCACCTCTCGGTTCAGAAATGGAAACCGATGTTCCATATTCAGCTCAGGGAAAAATCGTTGAGAGTCATTTTCCCCCGGGTGGGGAATTCACAAGTCAGTATCATTTACTATTTGTGTTGTTGGGGTTATGTAGAGCATGAAATCATCCATAATATCTGCCTTGCTAAAATGTTAACACAGAGGCTGCTGGGGGTGACAGAGGGTTTAGGAGAAGGGTGTAAGCCTTTGGAACACCAAGCCTTGCGTGATCACTTGGTAATTGGAATGTCACGGGGAGTTACCTTTCCCTAACCTTTCTTAGCTCAGACTGCTGGCTGCCCTGTGATCTAAAAGATGTATGCATTGTCCCTTAGACTCTGTTTAGTAGAACACGCCATTAGCATACCATATCTTTTTTTTTTTTTTTAAGATTTTATTTATTTATTTGACAGAGAGAAACACAGCTAGAGAGGGAACACAGCAGGGGGAGTGCAAGAAGGAGAAGTAGGCTTCTCACCCAATAGGGAGCCTGATGCGGGGCTCAATCCCAGAACCCTGGGATCATGATCTGAGCTGAAGACAGATGCTTAAAGACTAAGCCATCCAGGAGCCCCAAGTATTGTATCTTTCCTGGAAATAGATCCTCCCAGTTTCAGTAAAACCCCAGGTCAACATCCCCTGCTTGAGAAACAATGATAAGGATTTGTGATTATCCTGAAGGACCAATAAAAGCAAGTGAAGAGCAAAGTGTCTTTCTGAGTGAAGACCTCCTTGCTTTCTTCTCTCCTTTCACAGCAAAGTTTAGAGTAATCTTTCATCTGTTGGTACAGGCATTGCTGGCCATTCCTGGCATTGTGTCAAAACTGAGAAGATGCAATAGATTGTATGCTCATTAAACCATTGGATGACTAGCTGATGACTGTTAAAAAAACAGATACCATACATTGCAGAGTAATTCAGAGGGGTAAAAAAAAAAAAAAAATCAAATCTTTATCCATAGCTGGACTTCAGAGGAATAAAAACAAATTGTCCAGGTAAACAACTAGATAGACATAAACTATGTCACACATCTTTTGGAAATCATATATATTTACTATCTGGAAGGGGCTTTAAAAATTTTCTACTTCAATATGATAGTTGTTTTTGAGGTAAGTAAGTTGAGACTCAGAGGTGTAACTATTCTTTCAAGTTAAAGTCTAAATTTGGTTACATTTTAGCTGCATGGCCATAAATGAGTCATTTACTCATCTAAGAATGCATATTAATTATTAAGAATGTCAGAATGGACTTATTCCAATATTTATAATATTGAGGAATCAGGATTACAAAAAGATTTAGGAAGCAAATAACTGCCCTCATCTGTATAGTCTTAAGTTTTGTTTAATTTTGTTTGCAATGCCTTGATTGGAACTTCTATGGAATGCTAAGTGGCTAAGAACATGGTCCTAAAACTCATGGCTCAGAGTTTCCAATCTTATAATCTTGACATTTGATTAGTTATGATGGAATCTTCGAAGATGCACCCTAGTGTTACCCACTTTCTTCCTAGTGAATCCTGTCTTTCATGAGTAAGTCTGAAAAGAGACAGAAAAACAAAGTCTAGAAGATGTAACATATGTAATTACAATTACCTTGGCTAATTGAATTTAAATTAAAAAAAAAAGACAAAATGAAGCTTCATATCCTATTAGCAAAAGACTAATCTAGTAGCTTTGCCATCATTTACAAAAGATTCTATACCACAGCTTTAAAATTAAAAATTAAAATATATAAGTGGAAGCCTAGGTGACTCAGTCAGTTAAGCTTCTGCCTTGGGGTCTCAAGTCACGATCACAGAGTCCTGGCTCCCTGCTCAGTGGGAAGTCTCCTTCTCCTTCTCTCTCTCTCTCCCCTTTCCCCCTCTCATGCTCGCTCTCTCTCAAAAAACAAACAAACAAAAATCTTAAAAAAAAAGAGAGATATATACAGGTAAATATACATAATACAAATAAAACATACACATTTATGTATTTCTATGTACAAGAATAAAAACAGTTATCTAACTGTAAGCAAATTTGGCTTTGGGTTTAAAATAAACTTTTTTCACTAGAAGATACTGGTTATATATTAATTATTAATCTCCCCAGATAAAACTAAAATAATTATCCAGTAATTTTCACTGAAAATTTTCTACCAGATGAAAGATGTATTTTTAGAAAATAAAATTCAGAGAAAATTAATTTGTAAATAATTTTCATGTAATTATATGCATCTTAGAGAAGAACATCTTGTCAATCATCAACACTATCATTGTCATCATCAGAAGCATCATTGTGGTCATCACCCCATTAATAGCAAGCATCTAGAGGGTACTTATCATGTGCCAGGAACTGTAAACATAGTTAACAGTTCCTGTATATATATACACAAGATTAAAAACCCAGGCAATGTAACTCCATAGTACATACTCTTCATAACTTCATTAATAACAGTTACCTTAGGAACAAAATTTTTGCAAAGCAGACTTGTGTTCCACAGATAATGAAAGCTAAAGCTAGCCAAGACTGAACCAGCTTTTTAGTCTGATAGCAAGTGAGTAAGTGAAGGAAGGCAGAGGGATCTACTAAATTTTATGGCTCTCTCCTAGAACTGTTCTTTATGTAACTTAAAGGTATTGTGTAATGCTCACTGTGTTTGGCAGGGAACGAGTTGAAGAAATAGCTCTGATATATATATATATATATTTTTTTTTTGGCTCACAGTGAATTTGATCTAACCTGAATTAGAAAGGTAATATAACTTCATTAAAACCAGATTACAGCTATCTACCTGATAAAAATGTGTTCCAGATTTCTATCAAATGGTATTCATGAAGTTCAAATCTTTATGGGCGATACTACTGCAAAGGATAGTAAGGACGTCCAGATAGGTTCCTCTGATTCTTTTCAAATACAAAGATTCAATTATATCCTACTGTGACAGCACTTGACTTTTTGGTTATATGGGAATGGGCCAGGCCTCATAAAAATAAGTATTTATCTGTCATTTTTCTCCCCTGTTACCTCAAAATACAAAATACACAATAATTGACATGCCCTAAAGCAAAAAAAAAAAAAAAAAAGTAGTCTACAACCACAAATCTAAACAAATGCTCTAGTTTATTTTTCTCAAAAGGAATAACCATGGTAATCAACATGTCCATCATACACCAGCAAATAATATCACTCTGTTTTGGATGTTCCCTGAAATATAGTTATCAGGAGTCAGAAGAAATGGTTACACAATTGAGTTGATCTCTTGCCCTAGAAGAGTGGTGTATTTCTGATATTGTTCAAAATGAAATAATATTCCCTGCATATTTTAAGTTTATTTTCTAACATGAAAACAAAATAATGATTCCCAACCTCATTTCATAATGAAAAAAACTCACATTATATAATGTTAAATAATATAAAATATAAAATGTACTAGAAATATTAGGTATTATTCATTACCATTCTTACATAGCTAAAACAAAGGTACTTAAAGAAAAACATAATATCATGCAATTAAATTATATGCAGCTGTGAGAATAAAGTAGGGAAATTCTTGATTATTGTATAGGGAGAATATTGGGAGAAATAACTGTACGTATTAATTACCTCCTATAATCAGATATTGTGATTGATAGATTAAAAAAAATAGGGAGGTGAAAAAGTATGAGCCTTCAAATAGTCAATGTTATTTACTTACAATCAAGCCACTGTTTGCTTGCCTTTTTTCTCTGCCATGGATCCTTTTGTAGAAAATTCCGCCTGGATTAAACTGAGTACTCCAAATAATCATATCTCTTTGATAATATACATCCATCCCTGTTATCCTTGAATTATGTTCAATATGAGAAATTTGTTGATGATCACCACTGTAGTTGAATGGATATATAAAACCCAGGATATCAGTGTCATTAGCAATGTAGAGAACTTGATCTTCAGAGCCTGGAGATTATTATAATAAAATACAAAAATAAAGTAAATTTCAACTAATGTAAAAGCAATAATTGTACTTTTAAATTATCTTGAATTATTATTCTTAACAGTTTCTTGTTCAATAAAAATCAACCAACTTTGTACCATACTATGGTCTCCGTGACTTATTTCTAAAACACACTTACCTAAACTTAATGAGAGTTATTGATGTAGGTTTTCCCAAGACACAGCTTACCTTATGGCTAGGAATTAGGTATTTGTGCTAGATATTCTTTTCATAAAGAGGGATTTCTATTTGATAAATTGCAATACATTATGTTCTAATGCTTTGATCCTCAATATTTAGATGTTATGTTGCGTACTCATTAAGCCTCAAACATTCCTGAGCATTTAGTTTATGCATCCAATTCATCATTTTCTTAGGTTAAGAAATGAAAAATAAGAGGGGGAGAGTCTTCTTCTAATATTCATATATCTCAAATATTCTTCTAATTTTATTATAAAAATATATCAGGATTTACTACATTTAAATATCATGTCAATATTATTTAGGATCTTGCTAGTCGATCCCTGTAATCTGAAGTTTTGACACCTACAATAAAATACTAATGTCATTTGTATATTGAGACAAGTAAAACCCTAAAGTGAATTGTGAATATGTTAAATAAATTATTAATGAGACCATGAAGATTGAATTATATATACACTATCTGCAAATTAGAAAAAATAGACTATGAATTCTAGTTCAGCCCTATGGGTTTAATGGTTCTCACTTGGTTATGTTTATCTACTCTATGGCAGGCACTATTCTACAACTTTCATAATTTATCTCCTGCACTTATAGGAAGTAGAGATTCATATTTCCATTTTACAGATGAGGAACTGAGGCTCAAAGAGTTTCATAACTTCCCCAAGGCTACAGATCATAAAGGCATAATGCTAGGATTCAAATTCAAGTACATTTACCTCTCTAGCCCATCCTTAATCCACTATATCATGTTGTTTTCCACCTGTAATAACTGTTTTATTAACATTGTCCAATCATGTCCTGTAACTTAATAATATTTGTTATAATATTATTTAGTAAAAACCAGAGCATGAAAATTCATAACCAAAAAAGTCCCAAATACCTGTTTAAGTTTTAAAAATGATATTTCTAAGTAAAGGAGGTCTGAATTAAAGCATGATTTTATTTCAAAACCTTTTAAATTCTTACTCAAAATTCCATTCTCCTTTTAGTGCTAACCTTTAACCCTTTAAACTGTTATTTTTATCCATTATATAATAATATTTTTCATATACACTGAGAGCAGGCCATAAAGAGAGATGCTTCATATTCTATCATGTTGGCTTGTAAACTTTTCCCTTCTTCTGACAGATTTTTCAAACATGAAAGTGGTTTTAACAATAACCACATATTTGATAATCATGTCTATAAATCATCCCAGATTATATTAAGAATGACAACAAACCAATTTCGCAAATTAGCCAATATTAAAAAGAGATTTTGTTATATTTTCAGGCATGGAGCTATTGCTAAAATATAATATGAAACATTGTTTTCCCCATAAGATATTTATAGCAGTTATAATGGAATTTGAAATAACTGTTATAACCTTACCTTTTGCTATGCAGGTGTTATTCTTTTCCTGAAAATTCTGGTCACACACACATTTATATGACCCTTCCATATTGATACATTGGTGGGAACATGTGCCAAACAACAAACATTCATTAAGATCTAGAAGAGAAGAGCTCCAAATAGCATCATCATACCTCCAATTTCCGTTTCTGTTCTTTCCACATTTAAAAAAAGACAAATTTACTTTTCTTCCTTCAACTTTTTTCTATTTCTTTTATTGTCCTTCTAAAACTCTCAAGTATATGATTTGCTATGTCATATTTTCTGGCCGTAACAATTTTTACAATAGTTTCACTATAATAATTCATCAATTGTTTTACATTGCTTTTTAATCCACTTAACACATTGAAAGAGCCCTTTCAAACTTCCCTAGTATTTTCATTCATTCGAATGCTTCTTGAGGTTTCCTTTTGAGACTGTTTCTGATTACCTACCTCCATACATTTGTACATATCATATACGGTCCTATAAGCCCCTTGCCCACCTTGACCTAAAGAATTTTTATTCATCTCTTAAGATCCACATGCATAAAACCTTTCTTGTTCTCCACCAATGTACATCCATCCCACAGTTTCTCCGCTATTTAGTATCTGGGTGTTTCTCTCTTAGAACACTCTATGTACTATATATTATATATGTATTCATATATTCGTACCCCCTACTTGACTGTCAGCCCCTGGAGGGCATTAATTATTATTATTATTTTTTTGTCTGTGTGTTACACAATTCCTGGCCAAAAAAATGAAGATACAGATACAACTGTAACACACTTCTGGCTTCCTATATACAAAGAAACAATGTTACAAGAAGGCCTATGTGAAATAAACAAACAAAAGCAACAAAACCCTGAATGTCTACAAATAAATGGATACATGTGCATTATAAGTAATAAATAAACAAATCACAGGCAATATTCTGTTGTTTAGCACATGCCTCTAATTTTAATGGCTTATGCAGAGCCAGCAATGATGTCAGGTGACTCTAGTGAATTACTACTTTCTCTCTCTATTTTCAGTCAGCTTAATTCTTCTGCTTTTTTTTATGTCACCCTAATTATGTAATAAATCTGTGAGATAATTCCTTCTTTTGAGTTAGAAAATTTAAGAATAAGCACAGCAATAATAATTATCTTTCATTTAGCTCTCAACTGTGTTTTGAAGCCTTAGTGGTAGAGATCAGGACTTTCCCAGGGACACTTGCAATGACAGGGGCGAGGCTCAAACACAGGCTTTCTGATTCCTTTGTGTCTACTATGATACTTTGCCCAAGGTGACCTTAGGCATTCACGACAATTTATTTCTGTGTTTCATTGAAATATAGGACAAAGAGATAAAGAAAGCTGTATTGTTAGTGAATACCATACCAGGGACAAAGCAAAATACATTTTATTGGCACCTGGTCATCAAAAGAGTATTACAATACATTTGACTGTTTGACATCTGTAACTTTGAACAGCATGTTATTTGATCTTTCATTTCCCTTTGATATGGAGTCAAAATAAGCAAAAATCTACATGATTTGATAAAAATTTTGGGCCCCTCACATGGCCCTATATTGGCCAGAATCACCATTTTCTCTTCATCTCTATACTAATGCCAGGGGTCCAGCTCACTCAGTTTGTAGAGTATGTGAGTCTTGATCTCAGGGTCGGGTATTTAAGTACCACGTTGGGAAGAGAGATTACTTAAAAGTACACACACACACACACACACACACACACACACACACACACACTAATGTTGATACTGTGAGATTTCGTAAGGGGTAGAAGAATCTCACACATGTCCAAGACATAGAACAGTGCCTGACACACAGCAACTGTTAATCCATCATACTTCTCTGCTGTTTTCTATAATTTGTCTTCTCTTTACATATTCTAATTAAAGCATATTGGCTCTAACATCACATAGTAATTTCTTAGTCTCTTTTTGAGTTATATATAGGGAAAGCACAAACGCATTTCAATTTTTTGAATTATGAATCAAAGTCATGTCTTTCCCTTCCTCAGTACCAAATCAAATTGCTTTTCCTTGCTATCAAAGCTTCCTTTAATAAGGATACAAATTTTATTGGAGTGCAGAAGTTACTTATTTGCACAAAAAGAATACTGGATTTGTAGCAACTTAAAATGAAGACAGAAGTTGCAGCTTTTATTTGACATAGAACAATTAAAAATACAGAAAATTTTGAGAATTTTGAGTTTTAAATATTAAGTTTATAAGGAAATTCAGCCCATTATTCATAAATAAATGTTAGAAAATTAATGATATTGAAATTAAAATTTTGAAGAGGTTGTGTGTATGCATGTGTGTGTTTATATATAATTGATAGAAAGTTTCTGAGGAAGAAAGAAATAATATAGCCTTGAGAAATAATTTACTTCTTAAATTAAAATAGAAAAAACCTAAGGGTGCTTGGGTGGCTCAGTAGGTTGAGCGTCTGATTCTTGATTTTGGCTCAGGTCATGATCTCAGGGTCCTGAGGTTGGGCTCCATGCTCAGCAGGGAGTCTGCTTAAGATTCTCTCTATCCTTCTCCCTGTGCCCCTCCCCCTGCTCACTCTCTCTAAAATAAATAAATAAATCTTTAAAAAATATATTTAAAAATATAGAGAAGACTGTTAGTTTTCAGTGCTCCATATTAATGGAGAAATAAAATGCCATAGGTAATTCAAACAAGTATATAATTCAAAATGTACGTAAATATGACATGGCCATACTTCTTTCCCTTTTGGGTGGATATAATTAATTCATTTCAGTAATCTCATTTTGATTGACACAAAGCAAATATCACTTTTCTTTATCCAAGAATAACATGGACAGTAGAGAAGACAGCTGGTGGGTGAAAGCATTTTACAACTTGAATTTACAGTAGATAAGCCAGCCTTAAACAATTTAGGCTTGGCTCTAATCACAATAACATGAATTTTAATGGAGAAACTGGCAGTAAGTACATATAAGTCTGTATTTCATGGCTCTCTCATTAAAGCTTCGATGTATATTATATTTACCTATAATTTACTATGAGATCCTGGCTATCCTATCATGCTCAATTTTTAAATGATCTCAAGTAAGTTGATAGAGATTTCTTTAGATCCTGTCTTTGAATTTTAGAAGGCATTCTTGATAATATAAAGCACTGTTTGAGACATGGTGTTATGACAAAAGCCCACAGTTCTCTCAAAGTGAATTGCCTATTGCAGTACCACAAATGCCACACCTCGGGAGAGATGGGTCATCATAAACATGTTCTTTCATGAAATGTCTCTAATTCTCCAATAGTTCCTGAACCAGCAATTTTTTTTATTTGCATTTCAAAACAGAGTTGTAACAGTACAATTGAAATTCCTGCAGGTCTGAATCTGCTATAGAAAAGGCTTTGTAGTCTCAGAGATGGTTAGCTTAGCCATACAAACAGGCTTTTGACCCCAGGGACTTTCACTCTTGTAGGTAAAACGGTTTCCCGTAGATACACACCAATCTGATGAAGATCAATCAATGTCATCTCACAATTTACCAGCCTTGTGAGTCTTTTATAACCTAAAGATTTAAGAGCAAGCTGTTGAGGAAATGTACTATACCTTCACACTGTCTGTTTTTCATGTTTCTCTGAAATCCAGGCTTACAGCGACAAAAAACAGATGCCTTTATTTGATTACAATATGCATCATCTCCACATGGATTCACATTATCTTCACAGGTATATTCAGCGGGAGCTGGGATTTAAAAATACCATCAAAACTAATATAATTCTAATTCCTGAAGTGGGACTTTACCTTTTTTCTTAACTTGAAATTATATTTATTATTCCACAGATAAGTATTTTTGAATTTATAAGATTATGACCTTCTAAGTCATGATTTCTTATAAAAGTATAGAAGCAGATAAAAATCTGAGCCCATTTACACTGAATATAGTTTCAGACCAAACTGCCAATAGCTGATATTTACAGCTGTTGAAGTACACTACTTGTGGAAGGAAGTCGAGAGTCAATGTTTCTAATGACAGGTTATCATTACAATGGTACGATGTATGAGTACTATATCCTTCTCTAGGAAACAAAAGGTTTCCTAGAAGCTCCCAGAGATGTGGGCATTAATTGCTAACCTAAATTTAGTATTCAGGAATTCAATCAGGGGTACTACCATGTTACTCAAACAAGTAGGCTAAATCATCAGTTCTTAAACTATTTTAGCCTGAAAATATATAGGAAGAGAAGTATGCTCCAGTGGTCAAGGTCTGTTACACAAGTTACAACAGACTATGTGTTATTTGCCATTCCTAGCATAGTAATTACAATTTCATAGCTTTATTTCTCATTCCAAAAAACATTTTAGAATGCAAATAAATGAGAGGGATATTATTGTAAAATAGATGTTGAATTATCTGTTTTTTACTTACATATATCAAATTATTTTGAAATATGAAAACTTTATCAGAATTATAATGGTTATTAATCCCCACCGACTCTTGAATATTTTACAATTAATTAAAGTACACCAGTGGAATTTCACCTCAGCCTTGAGGTATATGTGGCCATATTGTGGGAGGTAATGCTTCATCAACCCAGAGAGGAACAACTTAGATGCATAAAAAGTGAAAGACCCCATAATAGGAAGGATTTTATGACTCTTATAAGCAATCTGAATTAGAGTCATATGTTTGGTTATTTTTCTTAATATGAAAAATGAGATATCAAACATTAAACATGAAAATAACCAAGCCCTAATAACTCAAATAGCATCACACTCCAACTAAATTAAACAATGATGTCTTCTTTAAGAATAACTCAGCAATGTATTAAAATCTTAAAACACTGAATAAATTACTAAGACCTTTATTATTTTTCAACTAAATACCATTGTTTGTAAGAAAAATAAATTTATATTTTATGAAATAAAATATTAAGGGACATAGATATCTTTGCTGATAACAAAGTCTGCAATTGGATATTGAGATTTCAGATTCAGGTCTAACAAGGGTACTCACTGTGAAAACGACCTTTCCCACCTCATACCTTCTGATACTAATTTAAGTGGCATTCTAAGGTTGCATTGGTAAGGGCTTACCAAAAATTACCAAAATTTTCTCTACTTAGGTATATTTGTGAAGAATGATATTTTCTCACACCAGTAGAGAAAATTTTAGTCATGTTGAAGGAGAATTGAACTTGCATGTTGCTACACTTTAACAGAAACTAAACTTACTTATTCTGCAGCCTTGCTCATCTGAACCATCTCCACAGTCATCAAGTTGATCACACTGGAAGTCCATGGGGATACATTTTTTATTGCTGCAAGTAAACTCATCTTTTTTACACGGTCTTGCTTTATATGTAAGCTTACCTATAGAGTCATTAAAAAATGATTAGTACTTCACAGAATCAAAACAAATTTATTGAGTTCATTAACACATTCAAGATTTTATTTAAACACTATGAAAAACATGGCTCCGCAATACTTTATTTGAAGCTCTTGGGCCAAATGAAAAAAGTTGGGAAATTCTGGACTTTTAGAGGAATAACAGTGTATTTACCTTGTAATAAGTAACACTACATTTCCACCGGAAAATGTCTGAATATTCATCCTAAGTGAGACCTTGTTCTTAAAGTAATAAAAACTGCTTCAGACCAGTTCAGGTCAGGGTTTGTCATCAGATGATTTTGCCACACACACATTAGTAAAGCCTTGGTTTTAAAAGTTTTTTTTTTTTTAATTTCATAATTGTGAAGAAGGAATTGTGTATACAGACATAAACTCCTTACTAACACTCTCCCCTCAAGGAGCTGTTTAACAGAGAACAATTTTAAACCACTGTGTTTTCTCTCATGCAGTATTTTCAGAAATAAACTGTGTATCATCAGTGGAGATTTACAGACTAGTAGAGAGTTTGGATAAAGCTGCACAGCTCTACTATTCAAATGAATGTTAGCAGATTATTTTTCATACTTCGTCAGAAGATCAAGTGTCTGAAAAAAATACCCTCAGACATGCTACATGGAAAATATTTCTTTGTAATTTTTTGAGCCCCCAAGCCATTGTATTATCTTATAGCTGTCACTAAATCAATTATTTCACATTAAACGGATTTACCACCACAGTGATCTTCATCAGAGTTGTCCCCACAGTCATCAATCCCATTGCACATTTGCTCAGGCTGCAGGCATATTCTGTTATTTCTGCATCTGTAAGGTCTTGTGGGTGGGCAAAGAAATTTGGCTGAAAAAAAAAAAAAAAAAGGAAAGAAAAAAATCAAAGCCGCTCCTTCGGGTACACTAACTTATGAGGAACGATCCCCTTCCCTTTTTTTTTTTTTTTTTTTTGTCTTCCTTTCTTTGTTTTGTTTCGTTTTATTTTGCTTTTCGCTTTTGTTTTTGTTTTATTTTGTTTCCTTCTTTTCAAATCCATAATCTGGCTTTTCTGAATATCTTTTGTTGTGGAAATTGCCTTCATGTAGGTACTAGAAACTGTGTGGAAATAGAAGCTATGATCTTGGTTATTTACATTAACTACAGAAAAGAGTGCACAGCTGAAATGAAATGAAGTAAGAAAAAGAGCCAAACTTCATGGTCTCATTTCCAGATGCCTTATCTTAGCTGACTTCAGTTGGTGTACCAAATTAATTTATGCCTGCAGTTTATACAACATGGCAGGACACTTAGCTATTTAAAAGAGCAATTTCACACAGAATAAAGCTTGAGGAAGCATATGTTATAGGTCCAAATTTGAAAATAGGTCATCCGGTGAAAAAAAAAAAAAAAGTCCCAACAATACTATAACTGTTTTCTGTAAACAAATGTATAATTATATATTTGAGTCACATAGGTGATCTTTGTTATTTATGTTTAATTTTTGTGGGTATATGTAGCTTTGGGGGGGGTATGACTTAAAATGACAACAGTGAAAGCCAGAGAATTTTATCCTTGTCCCTTCTATCATTATCTAATCTGAAGACTTCTACCCCTAAAGGAGGAAACCTCTCTCATGACACTTTATCTTTACATGTGGAATACTCCAGGTGTTTTCATTGGTTTCTTGATCTTTTCATTCTTGAATTCTTTGCTGATATTCTCATTTATTCTCATAGATTTTCTTGACACTATGCCCTTAAAACTTTCAATTCACTATCTAATTCTAGCATCTTACAATTGATTATAGGATATCCCCTCAGGAATTTCAAATTCAGTAAGTTCAGAACTCCATTCTTCATCACCTCCCTGTGACTACCTTTTCCCCAAACATAAGTTTGTGTTATTTCCATGGTTCAGTTAGTAGCACACCAGAGCTGCAAGTCTGGGGTTATTCTAAATGCATTTCTCTTTTGACCTTCAGCTCTTACTAGTCAACAAATCTGGTTGATACTATCCACAAATTTGCCTTCTTCTCTCCATACATATCCGTTACAACAGTTCAGCTCTGCACTATCTCTTACAAAGAAAACTGCGGTAGAATCCTAAATATCTCTATTTCATTGCCCAACCTAAAATCTTCCACAAGGCACCAGAACAACCCACCTTAGACATTAATCTGATCATCTCTTCCATAGTTACCCAGCATTTTCAGAATAAAATTTAAGATACTTCACATGCCATAATGGACTGATCACTACTTTGTCCATGCTACTTTTACAGACAAATCCCTTGTCACTCTTAATATTCTAGCAATACTACTTTATTAGCTTCTTAAATATACCATACTCCTTCTTGCTTGACCTCCATGGTTTAATTGAAATCTGGTTCCCACTCCAAGCATAGGTCCTCTTCTTCAGATCTTTTAGGAATATCTCTTAAATTTCTCAAGCCTCATGTTATATTTAAATACCCCTTAATCTCCTACTTTAGCTTTCAGAACTTTGTTACTATATCTTCACATTCAATTTTTAAAAATAAACTGAAAAAAAACTATTATTTTGATAGCCAGTCATTTGATTAAATATCTTCCTTATTGCTATTTTCTTATTAGCCTTATAAACATCATTCCTCTCCCCAGTTTACTAATGACTGTAGCATATTCCTACATCATTATTGCTCTCCGTCCAAACTCATTTAAACATCCTAGATGACTTTAATATCTACATGAACAAACCAACCAATATCTGTACCTCTTAGCTCCTTGAGGTTTTCATACCCAGTAACATTTTACTCTAATTCAGGTTCTGAAGATTGGTAGATTCCAATATATTTCTCTTCTTAATTTAGCCAATGACATTTCATGTTGCTTGCAGGTAAGAATATTAATTGATCTACATGAGTGCAGCTGGATATACTGTTTCCTCCAATGCCTTCATTTACAAAGTCACTAATCTGAATGCTACAAACTCTGACCAGCATTTCTTACTTTCCAAAATTTTTAATTCAACCAGTCTCATTAAACCTTTCTTCTGTCTTAGGTGAAACTTTAGTCCATTGATAGATCTACCTTTTCCTATTCTCCAGTGTTTTTGTCTTTAGTTACCTCAGCATTGACATAAGATCCCACGCTCCATCTTTCAGTTTACTCAGTTGACAAATATTTATTGGTAACTTATTATATGTTCTAAGAATTCATTTAGAAACTCACTTTAGTACAAATAATCTGGATTATCTGGCCCTTTTCTCTTTTTCATTTAGTTATCTAACAAAACCCTAAGCTTAGATGAATAAAATCATCCGCTATTCCAATGTCTGCATTCTGGGAAGACCAGGAACATTGCAGATGATCATGCCACAAGACCAAGTGACATCACAAATATGAATATTTATTAATACCAGATGGGCCCTAAATATTACTTGGAAATCATATATATCTGTATCTACATAGATATAAATACAGATATACATGTATATATAGATAGATAGATATGGATATAAATACAGATAGAGATAGCATGTTAGTCTCTTACCCTTTGCAATAACAATTTAAATCTGTATTCCTTTCAAATTTTCTAAAATAACAACCTTCCATATTCTATATATGAATATACTTCCTACTACATATATAAAAATGAAATAAAATGATGGTGAATTTGTTATCACTTCTTATATAATTGGACATCCACCTCCATCTATAGATAATCTATCAATTCATGTCAGTATTTTTAATAACAGAGAAGGGGTGACTATTCTTATCTAAAACTAAGTTTTCATCTGCTCTGAAGCCAATTTTTTCCTGCCCTTTCAGGAACCATTCCATCTTTCTTGATACATTTCATTACCTTGGTATTTCTTTTGCTATACCTTTTTTTTTTTTCCTTCAAATCATTCTGTGGTAACTCACCTGAGTCTCTTCCAGCTGCTTATATTTATGTAGAAGTTTGGTGGCACTCAGTATTCTATATTAAATTCCTTCTTCTCTTATGCTTTACTCCCACCCAGCCTAAATCTTACAAAGTCCATAGTATTCATTATCCCATTTTATTCTGACTCTCAAATTTATAACTTTAGTCCAGCTTTTTAAGCTTTAGAATCAAATATCTAGAGCCTACCTGAAATCTATACTTGAATGTCTCCTCAAATGTATCTCAAACCAGGCATTTAATCTTTACTTGCAATACTGTTCCTCTTCCTATATTCCCCATGTATTCAACTGAACAAGCACAAACCCCCTACAAATTATACTTAGTAACTTCCTCTTCCCTGACTTATCTATCTAATCTATTATTTAATCCTATTTTATTTTGCTTTTCAAATTACCTCCAAGTATATTTGCCATCACGTGCTATCATTATCTTAACCCGAGCTAGTAGCATGGTTTGCTTAGAGTATAGCAATTATCTTACCTAGCCTTGCCCCTTTCTATCCAATATATGTAAAATATATATATGACTATATGCCTGTTGTACTTAGAACTTTTTAGTATTCTTTCTTAAAACAATTCTTAAAATGTTTATTTATTTATTTATTTATAGAGAGGGAGAGAGAAAGACAGAGAGAGAGGTCAGGGGGAGGAGCAAAGAGAGAAGGAGAGAGAGAATCTTAAGTAGGCTCCATGCCCATCTCAGAGACCAACCCAGGGCTTGATCTCAGAATCCTGAAATCACTACATGAGCCAAAATCAAGAGTTGATGCCACCCAGGTGCCTCAAAACCATTTAGTATTCTTAATTACTTTTAGGCTAAATCCAAAATTCCCTATGAAGACTTACAAGATTCCAGACTCTTCCGTCTCTTCAGTTTCATCCTAAACCAGTATCTACCTTGACCTGTACTCTCCAAGCACAGGGATCTTTCAGTTACTCCAATAAGTTATGGTTCACTCTGCCTCAGGGTTGTCTACATTTTCCTTTGCCTACAACATCATGTCATCCACCTTCCCTCCAGCCCATCCCTTTCACCTGCTTAGCAGTGATAAATCTCTCAGACTGAAACTCAAATATTATTTACCATAACCCAAGATTGAATAAAATCTCTCTGTTCTATACTTTTAAAACTTACTCTTTTTCCTCAATGCACATATCATAATTTTCAACCATATATTTTTAAATCATTTGAATACCTAGTCCACTAGATTCTCAGTTCTGTGACATTTGGGTCCATGTCTGTATCTCTCATCATTATATTCCCCCAAATAATAACAGTATCTATGCTAACAAATATTTATTAAATGAATGAATGACACTATTTCCCATGCTGTGCATAATGCCTATGCTGTCTTTTAATTTGGATTGTTCAAACTGTAGCTTTCTGAATTCCTCCTTAGGCAGAGTTCATCTTATTCCTCTCCTCCTTATCTGTACATTTACTTAATTCCACCATTGCTTAAAATATAATGTATGAAAATCTGATTAGTACAATCAGAGTAAGATCTTGTCAAAGAGAACCATGTGCTGTTCTTCTTTTTCTTTTTTTCTTTTTTCTTTCTTTCTTTTTTTTTTTTTTTTTCCATCCCAATTACTTAGCACAGTCCCTGGTACATAACAGCTTGACTCAATGTTTATACTGATGACCTAGAGGAATGTAAAAACATGCACGGAATCAAGCTGGTTGTATTTTAGGTTTTCTAGCAGCTGTGTGGCATGTCACTGAGAATCACTTCCTGGTCCTAGAAGTGGTCCTGGGGGTATGACACTGGAGCCTCACATGGTTAATTAGCAACCATTTCCTATTCCACTCACTAGTTGTGTGCTAAAGTGGAATAGAAGGAAAAAAAATATATATATGCACATATATGTATACATATACATACTTTATAAAAATAATTGATTCTGGCCTGATATTGGCAGGTAAATTTATATTTTTCCATGGATTATAATGCAGAAACAATATAATCTCTGGTGATTTTCTAGAGTCCATTGTGTAAGATGATGTTGAACTAAAACTGAAACTTAGTTATATCTCTCATTAGTTGTGTCTACAGAGAACACTCTCCAAAGACTGTCATTTTTAAGTTTTAAATCCCTTTAAAAATAAAGCTACCTCCATGCTTTGGATATTTTATTCAATTGTAATGTCAATAGTCAATGTCACTGTCTATCAAAAAATATTGTTTTAACTTGGTGTACCAAATAGAACAAAGAATTTAAGTATATACACTCATGCTATGTCTTCTAAATTCACCTGAAGTGCTACTTAATTATATCCAAAGTAGGAGTATTTTTCTTTAAATTAGAGGTAAAATACACTTTTACTGAGATTAGATAAAAAGAATGAGAAGAAGGAATTGAAAATGCTTGTTACCTATAAGAAATCCTTTACTAGGTGATATAAACAGACATTTATAGTTGCTGGTTGTGTAAGTACACTCCTGACAATCATCAAGAGTCAAGAGTAACTTGAATTTGAAAAAGCAATAACTTTTGTTAAGATTTTCAGATTGAAAGGTTATATAACTCCTAATTGCAGTTCTCTGCCTAAGTCTATATATGTATTAAAATATATTAATATATTTATAACACAGGATATATATGAAGAAATAATATATGCTATATTTAAGTATATTAATATATTTATGTAATAAAATACATCCATATACTTACATATTAAAATATTATTAATATACTTACATATTATCTCCATATATATCTCCCTGACATTGGTCTCAGTGGTGGGTAACTTGTGGGGCTACATGATTTTATTATTCACATTTTGTCCATGTACTTATCTGTCCCCGACAAAAAATGTTTTAGCCTCAGTAACCAATTTGGTACAAAGCCAAGTCCTTATATGAACCTCACACAATTCAAAAGCTAAATCAGTATAAGTCCTCCCAGATAGGCCATACACTATCTTTTGAATAGTGTTGACATGTACAAATTCAGATTTAGGGGCCATCTCTGTAAAATCATCAACTTTGGGCAGGGTAATCTCTTACTACCTGAATAAAAGCTGTATCGGTATCTACCTAACCCCAGGATAGTAGACTTTGTGGTTTGCCTCACCACTCTATCGATTCACGCCAGCATGTTAGATCTGGAGATGACAGTATAATCTAGACCCAGGTGAAATGCATACCACACATATCGGGGGCTTCATCAGAGTTGTCTCCGCAGTCGTCTTCTCCATCACACACCCAGAAATGTAGTTTGCAAAGGGAATTATTGCAGAGAAACTCATCTGATCTACATATATTTCCTCCTTTATTTTCAAACAAAACAGAAAAAGAGACACAGAGATGTAGCATAATTAATTAATGCCAGTCAACAGGACACATATTCCTCTAATTATCTTCGCACAGTACCTAGTTTCTCACTTCCTTATATTTTTTTCCTGTTCAATATGAGGGACAAGCAGTATCCAGACTTTTTTTTTTAAGTTACTCATGGTTTATTTTTCAAAACAATCTGATATTACCCAGGTATATCATATTTCCTTTGGAAAATACTGGTAAGATAGTAGAAGAAAGTTTTTTCGAATATAAATTATCTTCCACCTCACAAAATTTTTTATGTTCCTGTAAAGAAACTTAGATTTTAAATGGTATTAATTTTCATTATATATATTGTGTTGTTCTGGAAAGAAAAGACACTTGCAAAATTATTAGTTCAATATGGTTATATCTGGAAACTGACAAACTTAGTTGCTGAAGACAGAATAACCAATAAAAAGCTTTTGCGATCACAGATAATCAGTTAATTTTATACAGAATTAGAAGTTGGTGATGTGGTGAAATATTTCAGTCATACTTATAAAAAGTATACAGTAGTGTACCTGATTTTTTGTGTATTTCATAAATGTTTGCTTTTTTCTCTTTTCACAATTAAATGTAAAACATCAAGAATACAAAGATATGCTCACTTAAAATTAAGTATATTTATCCTGTGCAAAGGAACCAAAATACTAATCAGCTTTGGTTATATGTTTAGATATGTAATAACATATAGTGGAAACTGCAATGGCTGGGGAATTAGGAACTTCCCTTGTGTTGCCTGTCTATTAACTTCTCTGGGACTCAGTGTTTTCCTATGTTATAAGAGAGGCTTGGCTAAAGTAATTTATAAGGTCATATTTACAAGCAGTACCTGGGGAAACAACCCAAAACAACCTGATGGGAATTCAGAATTAAGATAAATAAGATTGCTCTCAGAGAATTTTACTACCTATTTAAACCTCATAAGATAATAAATATGGTTTCCATATTAGATAGATTTGATGATTGAAGGCATTAACATATTTAGAAGTGGACATTTTATTAAAACATGGGGTTGGAGAGTAATATTGCTCATCCTTGTGAAACTAGAAAATCCTGGAAGGAAGCATTGTTCATTTTGTGGATCACTTTAGGGGGAATAATAAGCCTAAACTTATGAGGGTCAAACAGCTCATCTTGTTGGGTTTTGACTTGTATACGAATCTTTAATAATTCCCTGATAGCAGCAAAGACTTAATTTAGCAAATGACAGAAAGAGATTTGGATTTTAGCATGATAACACTAGCTAGAATGTGGAGAACTTGGAAATAAAGGTAGCAAGAGTAAAGCCAAGGCTGGAGGAAAAAGACCAACTTGAAGAGAGGTTGTAGCAATGCAGAAGAGAACTGTTGGTACTTGATTTAGAGTAGCTATGTTTGAAAGTGCTTCAGGAGGTAGAATCCTCAGGATCTGATGGCTAAAAAGATGAAGGTGTCAAGGAGAATGAGCAGTCAAGCATAGTTCTCTATTTTTGGTTTATTTGGATCATTTAGTAAATGTAGGTATTGTCCAAAAATAAAGAAATACAGAAGGAGGAGCAAGCTTAATAGAAATAATTACACAATTAATTTAAGGACTAGTAAGACAATCATGTAGTGATATTTAACAGGATAGTGGATAAATGTGTTTAAAACATAAGACAAGGGGCGCCTGGTGGCTCAGTGGGTTAAGCCGCTGCCTTCGGCTCAGGTCATGATCCCAGAGTCCTGGGATGGAGTCCCACATCAGGCTCTCTGCTCAGCAGGGAGCCTGCTTCCCTCTCTCTCTCTGCCTGCCTCTCTGTCTACTTCTGATCTCTGTCTGTCAAATAAATAAATAAAATCCTAAAAAAAATAAGACAAGTTTTGAGCTGTAAATATGTAACTGGGAATGATCCGAATGTAGTTGTTATTTGAAACTTAGAACGAAACAGAGGAAATCAACATTTAAAGACTGGATAGATAAAGAGGAGTCTGCAAAAGAGACAGAAAAAGTAGCCCATTGGAGAAATACCTGAGAAGTGTTCCAACAAGGAAGTAGTAGTGAGCATATTTATATAATGCTAAAAGAGGAGGTTCAGTGAACTGGTGGTGGATTTATTGATGTGTTTTTAGTTCGTTATTATTAGATGAAAAAGTAGTAGTTACTGTAATCATCCATTCCTTTCCAGGAGTTTGGTCTTAAAGGCAAGGAAGAAAGGAGGAAGTTATGTGAATAAGAGAGGCTGGTTCTTTGTATGGAGTAAAACAGATATCTGATATACTTAAGTCCTTCTGAGAATAATTCAGTAGACAGAGTAAGCTTGAAGATACAGAAGAGAGAAAGGGTAATTGATACGATGAATTCTTTGAGAATCCAGAAATTGTGAAGGATTTGAGATTTAAACTAATATAAAAGGATTATGCTTAGATTGGAGGTGAAACAAGTCTCCCATTTCAAGAGGGAGGAATGGGGGAAAAGTTAGGCTAGGCATAGCATTAGGTAGATTTGTTAATTTGGTGACCAGATGTTGAATAAAGCTCACGATTTTAAACTATTTCTGTGAAGTAAAAGGTGAGGAAGAAATTCAACTTTTTAAAAAACTCGATAGGGTTAATGGTAGAGAGATGATTAGGGACATAGAGGTCGATGGCTTAGAATCTTTTTTTTTTTTTTTAGATAAAGCTGAGGCCAAGATATTGTGATAGCAATCTGAACAGTTCTGAGAGTTTCTGCAAAAACGCTTAACATAACTGGCACATCCTACATTGGCATCTCTCAAGACTAGCAAACTCTAAAATATGGGAAAAGTCAAGTCCGTGGTAAGTCCACCATGGTGAGTATCACCATATAAGACTGACAATATAATATCTGGCATTGGGGTGCCCCTTTCTTTCAACTTCTGGAATGGTCAGCTCTAAAATGCCCTAATTCTAAGAATAATTTCAATGATCAAAACCCATGCAAGAAAATATATTACCACTTAACAACTCTGTCTGAAAACAATAAAAAGATAACATATACAGCCTTTAGTATTAAAGAAACTTAAGATATGAATATTGATAGGAGGTATTTGCTTAATTCATTCAATATCAAAATCCATGGAATATGAAAGTTATATTCTTTCAGAAAAAAGATGCTCTCATGACTAAATCTCATTGCATGTTCCATTTTACAATGGATTATATTCAAACAAAATTTGTGAACTCTTGACATCCTCTATTTTAGAAAAGTCTATTTGTAGCACATCAGTCTTGCTGAAAGGAAAATAAAAAATGAGTTCCCAAAGGTATCACATTAGGTAACATAATTTCCCCATAAATGGGCATATTATTATTTTTTTAAGAAGAAGAGAAATATAAATGAAATCACAATTGTAGAATAAGAAAAACATTTTGTGATAACTTACTAACGGGTTCCTATTGTTCCATGAAGGATTTGTATTAAAAAAAAAAATGTATCATGGGGCTACCGTGACATCTTGAGTCTAACATAAAATGCTTATTTTGAAATGACATGAGGCACACATAACCAACAAAATTCCAGTTTCCTAGTCATTAGTCATGTTCTTAATAAGCTCGACAGAAGATTATTAGAAAAATAGAAAAGTGTGTGTATACATATATAAACAAAAACCTATGTCTGAATATAACTGAACTTTTGGCAGGTTCATAGAAATCTGGACAGGGCATTATCATCAAAATTAAGCATCTAGAGTTCCCATTTTAATTTAGGTAGAGGGAAAGTTTAATATATGATAATGTTTTATAATTGTCATAAATAGTTAACATATTTTTGAGCTGGTGATTACTAAAAAGAATAATTCTCAATCTTGTCCACCAAAATTGCTAAAGAGAATAAAGTTTGGGAGCTCAGACCAAAACAAATACCAAGTTTCCTTGAGGCAACATGTTTTAGCTTTGGAAGTATGAATGGTGCTTTTAATTCCACAGTATTTGGGGGTTTGACTTTTTAAAGTAAACTAGTAAAGCTAATTTTCTTAGAAAATGTTCCTGCATCCCTATTGCCTTCCAAACCCAACCCTTTGTTCATGTGTCCAGATCCGGGATGAATGAAGATTTGTTTATTCTGGCATTCCTTTTCCTCAAAGCCTTAAAGTACATTTATCCAGTACCTAAACCATTTGTTGGAGGTAAGTGAAATGCTAGAAATCTGAATTCGAGCAAGCCTTAAGGTACATCCTTACAGGATCAAATACTTTAAACACCAAGATAATTCATTGGAATTTACCTGGCAGCAAAGAAACCCAAGAAAGTTAGAAACATGAGTATTGATGGAAGGGGAGCTTTGACACATTTGTAAATGATTGAATTAAAGGTCTTCAACTCTTTTTTTAATCAGTAAGCTTAAACTCTTAGTAGAGTCGGTTTAAATCTAAAAAATAACTCAGATTTCAAATGCTATCATTCAATGCTAATGTTCTTTTTTTTTTTACTATAATGTTTGATTTTTAACCTGTAATTCTTTGTTCAAACAAACATTTCTTATGAAATTTAATATTTAAAAAATAGATAAATCCTGACAGGACTGCCCTTATACAAACACACATACAGTCACTCACTTTCTAGATATTCCTATGGCTCTTGGAGATATTTCACTGTGGTTGGATCTGATAGTATGAAAAATTAATACATAAAGGTTTCTAGAAGTAAAACAAGAAACTAGATCTCTTGAATTTCATTTCAATAAATTCTCTGTGCTTTACTTAGTACAAATTATTTTACCCTTTCTTTTTGAAAAAAATATTTGAAGACTCTTTAAAAGCCTTGGAAAACTTCTCATTATGCTTAATATTAAAACCAAATTCTATAGCATTAATTTCCAGTTACTTATAGTTCCTAAACACTTAAAGTTTCTCTCACATCTGAGACTTTTATGCATAATGATAACACTGCCTGGAATGCACTTCCTCATTCTGTTTGCATACCTAATTTTTTACATTAAGAAACTCACATTCCAACAGGGGAAATTTAGTCAACTAATACAGAAGCAATTATACTAAAAGGAAAAATACTATAACAGGAATGCAATCAAAGTGTTGCTAGGGAAGCTCCAGAAGAGACTGAGATTTGGTAGAAGACAGTAGCAACTGAATGGACTTGAAAAGATAGATATAATTTTCATTGGCAAAGATATTGAGATGGTGGAAATAGCAGAGGAATCAGGACAGACGTTGGAAAACATGGAAAATTTTACTAGATTTATTCTTCAGTTTGGTCTAGGATATATGATATAAAGAGAAGTAATTGAGGATAAGGGTAGGGAGATAGAACAGGATCATTTTCTTGTAACCCTGACTGCCATATTTATACATAACCAGAAAGAAAGAGTTTTGAGCTAACATCGACATAATCAGAGTTACACTTCAATAAGATCAACCTGGCAGCAGTGAGTGGAATGTATTAGAGTCCAATTACATGGCTTTACATGAACCCAGGCAAGAAGCAATGAGAGAAAGAGACAGACTGGTGACAGTGACTGAAATTGAGGGGCTGGAGCTTATTAGCTAGAAAATGGAAAAAGATGAGTTACTTAATTGTCCTGAAGTCTTAGAATATGATTGTATTGAAGAGCTTTTGGTGCCAGAGTATCTACAAAGTTTGCTGTCTCTAAAGTGACCAATTATAGAATGTGAATATGAGAACTTAACCAAAAGTAGAAACAGCTATTAGGGAAGTACAACCTTTTATGGCTCTATATAATGCACTGCAGATTCCAAATGAGAACTAGGATTTCTTCTGGTGAATATTGCAATACTTTATCAGGTTGGGTATGGAGATTTTAGGAAATAATAAAGGTTTGATCTAATATTAAAGAAAATGGAGGATATTTTTCTTTGAGTGACTAGATTTTTATAAAAGCAAATATTTTTTTTTCTTTTTAAAAAGACTTTTAAATTATTTTATTTGTTTATTTATTTGAGAGGGAGATAGAGAGAAAACATAAGCAGGGAGGAGAGGAAGAAGCAGGCTCCTTACTGAGCAGAGAGTCGTAAGAAGGGCTTGTTCTTAGGACCCTGGGTTCATGACCCAAGCCAAGGGCAGATTCTCAAATGACTAAGCCACTGAAGTGCCTCTAAAATTTTTATTCAAATTCCAGTTAGTTAACAGTGTAATATTAATTTGAGGTATACAATATAGTGATTCATTATTTCCATACAACCCCCAGTGCTCATCACAAGTGTACTCCTTAATCCGCATTGCCTATTTCACCCATCCCCTACCTACCCCCCTCTGTAACCATCAGTTTGTTTTCTATAGTTGAGTCCATTTCTTGATTTGCCTCTTTTGTTTTCCCTTTGTTGAATTTATTTTGTTTCTTAAATTCCACATATGAGTGAAATCATGTGGTATTTGCCTTTCTCTGACTGACTTATTTCACTCAGCATTATACTCCCTAACTCCATCCATGTGGTTGCAAAGGTATATTGAAACTGTATAAACCCTGAGTACATGTTCAAATGCCCTGCAACATACATCAATAATTAGCATCATCTCTGTTGATGATATTCCAAAGACTCTGAAATGTAAAGTCCATTAACTTTTTAAAGCAGCTTAAAAATAATTTTGCATTTAAACAACATATTTAACATTATGAAAATAATAAGAGTTATAGAATTTGTGATCATTTTAAGCTTCACCCACAATTTCTTTGCTTTCATCTCATTAACCTTAAAGTAGTAACAAAGTTGCTTGTAATGTAGTGAATTACAATTAAAAAGTTGTTATTTTTCAGCAAATATTTTCACATAACTAGAAAATAATGCACTACAAAATTTAAAGCTGACTTCCAGACTGACAAAAAATGTAGATCATTTTCTCAGCCATATGGCTAAAAGGAAATTTGGGGCACAAGCTACAACTTATGTATGATCTAGCAAATTAGTATGTGTAATATAGTATGCCTTATGTTATTATTCTTTCATAGTAAGGCAAGCAATGTGGAAGAGAAATGTATCTCAAAAATACTTTTGTAGTAACGGCTCTAGTGGTTATGCTCCCTGCATCCTTCTCCTGTGCCTATTCCTGACCCAGCATCTAATCCAAGGACAGGCTTGGGGTAGGACACATTAAACACTGGCACTTTGGTTGCCTTTGTCATATGAAGCTTGACATTTACTCTGCCTGAAAATTATCCAGATTTTGCTTACTCAGACCAGGATGTTACATAATGAAACAGGAATGGGTAAAGAGAATCATTTGGTGATTCCATCCTCTGGCCCTAGTGCCCTATTGATTTTGCACAACATTTTAGCTGTCATTCTCTTATTTCCAGGCAAGTGCACACACACACACACACACACACACACACACAGACACCTTACCTCTGTCACAGTTCTCTTCATCACTGCCATCCACACAGTCATGAATGCCATCACAGAGCCATCTAATTGGAATACAGTGGGCTTTATTTCTGCATCGAAACTGATCTTCCTTACATTCAGTCACACAGTCCATCTGTTCAAATACAAATAAGCACTGTAGTTTTCATTAATGATAATGACATAGTCACAGGCAAAATAAACATGCAGCTGACAATACTGGAGATATATTACACCGTGGGCTTTCTTTTATTTTGACTTAATGAATATAACCTCTGCAAATGACAATGGGGCTTAGTATATGAACAGCATGCAGACTCAGGTATCTGTTGCAATTTCTGTATTGAGTGTACTTGTCCTAACATTTTAGACATTGCTAAGAATCAAGAATCTGTCTCTTTACTCTATTTTTATTATGTTTGCTTTCCCGAACCTAATTCATGTAATTCAGAGATTTTAATCAAATGATAGATTTTACCTCATCAGAACCATCAGCACAGTCATATTCTCCATTACATTTCAAAGATGCTGAAATACATCCTCTGCTTGCACATATATATTCACTTGATGAGCAAGTAGGAGAAGCTGAATATAATTATAAAGTTAAGATTTAGATTTGGTAAATTGAATGATTGGTTTCATAGATAAAAACATAAATAAGCATGTAAAAAATGCATAGACAGCAATGAAGGTAGTTTATATTATTTAAACTATAGTCCATATCTGATATCAAACATTTATTTAAAATATGTTTCACAGTATTATCGCATTTCATTAAATATACCTAAAAAAATGATGTAATAACCTGTTCAGGAAGTATTCAACTCACCAGACTAAAGAAAGAAGGAAAAAAATCTATATAGTCTCCACCTCTTTAGTTTTGAAGAGTTAGATGAATTTCCCATAATTTTAAATTAAATTATTTAAAAACAAAGGCCTTAAATTGTTTTTAAAATTGTAAAGGGATTTAGTGACCCTTGGAAATGTTAATTTATATATGCATCATATAAATCTAAAAGTAGAAATCTTGGCATAGTCCTATAGACCCCATGATATCTAGCTGGCTATGTTGACATAAATGTCATATTTGCATAACTTCTGAGAAGTACTTTTGTTTTGGGGTCTTAAACATGAATAATGCAAAATTAACTGAGTCTATAGCAACTTTATGACATAGAAAATAAAAATAACAAGTGAATATTTAAATTACTCCAATATTAAATCCAATTAATTGACACAGTAATTATGATTGTTGCCTTTGTCTATGGGTTCGAATCTGCTAGGCCAGCATTCAAACCTCCAGGGTTCTTGGCCTTACACTGGTCCACTAGGTAGCCAAATGTACTTATATAAGGAGTCTGTGGTCTGAAATGCTTATTTCCAGGATTATAATAAGCTTTTTCCTAGAGTTTTAATTCCTTTTAATTGACAGTGTTTGCCTCAGGGTCTGTATTCATATGGAGACTGAGAACTAAATTCAGTAAGAAAAAAGATGCAATCTATTACCAGTATGACCATGTGCATTGTACAGACATATAACAATGTGTGTGTCCTGTATCTGCTACTCTCACCTGGGTTCTCAAAGTAATGCTTTTGTGGTTACACACAGATTATAACATAATTTTCTTCCAGGAATTATTTTTTCTGTAAGATAATGTTATTAAAATACCTAAGGTATAAAAAATTAAGTTTTAATGAGCATATTTATAAATCCCATACTTAAAGAATAAGAATGTATCATAAATCAGGTATTCTTTTCCTATACTCTGGTCTTGCTTCCTAATTTTATTTTGATTTTGGACCAAGATGGAAATAGAAATAATACACTTACACATTTTCTCAGTTGGTATCATGTTGAAACTACTTAATTCTGTTTCATAACCTTCATTTCCATAACTGAAAACTTGATTTTTATTGCACTTACAGTTTCAACATATTTCATTTTGCCATCTTGGAAAAATAATTCCAAATGGTGTGGAAAGAGAGAGAAACCGGAAAATCGAATTTTTAGGAGTTTAATGCTTAGATCCCCAACATAGTAATGATCTTACATTCAAAAACAGTTTCAAAACATAGCAAGGGCACACCATTGAATCCATCTACAAATATTTCTTTTTTTATCTACAAATATTTCAAAATTTTATTTCTGAAATAGTAAATGTGTGTGTGTGTGCATTTGCCATTGTTTTCCGTACATGATTGCCTAAATTGAAATTATACCTACTTAATATATCAGTTAAACTAACTATCACCTCAGTCATTTTACCTGGCTCACAGTGTTTCTCATCTTCTCCATATTTACAGTCTTCATGGCCATCACATTTCCATTTTGCTGATATACACTGACCGTTGGAACACTGGAACTGATCTTTGGAACAACTTGTCTCACAATTTCTCTGTCAAAATCACACAATGCAGTTAACATAAGCTTTTATTTTTTATTTTTATTTTTATTTTTTTGAAGGGCAGCAAAGCAAAGTTTATTGGGTGATAGTACAAAGCTCCCAAAGAGGGAGGGGACCCAAGAGGGTTGCTGTTAGAGTTTTTAAGGCTAGGTTTGTTTGTTTGCTTTTTAAATTAACATATAATGTGTAATTTGTTTCAGGGGTACAGGTCTGTGAATGATCAGTCTTACACAACTCACAGCACTCACCATAGCACATACCCAACCCAATGTCCATACTCCAGACACCCTATCCCTCCCTGCCCTCCCCTGACAGAAGCCCTCAGTTTGTTCCTGAGATTAAAAGCATATAACATAAGCTTTTCGACAAACACATACAAGCCCAAAAGACAGCTAGAAACCTTATGAACAGAAACCTAGAAATGTAGAAACCATGACTACCACATACAGGAAGCTCAGATGGTCATTTAAGTCTATGGTTATATATAACAAAAGAATAACAATTTTCTATTTTCATTTGTCTTTGCGAGTCATAATAAAACAGAAAAAGGAGAAAAGAACATAGATCCCATAGTTCTATTATATCAGAGATCATTTTCCAATAGACAGTTATGGGATAATTTAATTTTAAGATTATTATAGGTGACAATTAAGATTGTGGGGGGAAATTAAGTGTTAAAAAATTATTTCTAAGCAAGTACATTCAGTTCATTGCGAATGGAATGACGGGATGAATGTTAAGCAAAGAACCCAAAGGCAAATCTGTTTTGTGTTGGCAGAACTTCCCATGGCCTTCCTTTCTCCTTCCCATGCCTTTTCCTCACTACCTGTCCCTTCACAGATTAGTTGCTGGTTATAATCCTTACCGCTCTTCCAACATTTGTTGTTAAAGAACTGTGAAATGAACTGTCACAATTGTCACTTCTACTAGCTGCATACAGATTTTATTTGGAATTCAAACAAGACAGTAGTAGATATATTTTTGGGTCCCTTTTTTTTTTATTTTATTTTATTTTATTTTATTTTATTTTATTTTATTTTATTTCTTTTCGGTGTTCCAAAATTCATTGTTTATGCACCACACCCAGTGCTCCATGCAATACGTGCCCTCCATAATACCCACCACAACTGTAGAAAACAAGGAATATAAATTAAAATTACATGTAATTCAGTTCCAGTAGAAAAGGGATCATGTCTGTATGGATAGGGATCATGTGTGTTTGTGAACCAAATATCTAATACTGTGCCATGATTTAAATAACTGCTTAGGAAGTATTTGTAGAATTAATGACTATCTCAGCACTAAAGGAATTTGAGTAAAATAGTTCTATAACAAATGGCACTGGTATATCTATATTGTCAACAATATAGAAGATTGCACTTCTAGATACATTTTCTATCAGAAGATTTCAATCTAAAATAAATTACAGTATTGTTGATGAGTGTCTGTGTGTCTATATTTGCAAGTTATTTAATTATCATTTTAGATTCTTAAAAGCATACAGAAAGAAATAGAATAATGAACCTCATGGGCCCATCCTATTTGTTTAACAATGATCGCCACTTCACTATTCAGGTTTCATATATTCTCCTCCACCACATTTATTTATAGTCTGGATTACTTAACACAATAATGATAGTATTAGAACATTAATAATATCACAAAATTTGCAAAAATTCCTTAGTATAAAGTCGTTCCCGATCAATATCCAAAATATTCTCATTTTTTAAACTACATTAAGATAGTATTTGGTAGAATAAAGATCTAAAAGAAGTTTACACTTTGAATTTGGCCTGAGTTTCTTTAAATGAATGACTATTTCCCATTCTCCTAGGTTTTTTGTTTGTTCGCTAGTTTGTTTGTTTGTTTGAATGCCATTTACTACTTGAAGACACTAGGTTATTTGTTCTGTTGAATGCCTCCAGTTCTGAATTTGGCTGATTGAATCCTAAAAAAAGATACTTTTGTGACATCTAAAGTGACTAATGAGATTTTTGTTTTTTAAAAGTAATATTATAAACACATGTATTTTTATACATGTATTGTATTTCTATCCATTACAGTCACTTTTTTCCCCCGGTATTCAAGTTTTCCCTTTGATTAGCAGAAAATCCCTTCAATTAGCTCCTATGTATTCTGGACGTTATAGTAATGGTCTTGTTCTGGCTTAACAAGATGTTAGTGGCTCATTTTGTCAATTTCCTTTTTCATATCTAGAACTGGACATTTCTCAAAGGAGTTTTGTCTCCTTTAATTGGAAAATGGTATTTAGAGGCCCCTATGTGAATGTTAGGGTCAATCTATAATACTGAGATGTCATCAGTTTAGCTAGGAATTATATATTTTTAGAAAGAGTAAGATAAATCAAAATCTCTTACTGATACTTGTGAATTTAATATTACAGAATTTTTATTTACTTTTTTTGTTCCTACATTGGTATCTCCTTTCTTTTACTTAAAAATTGAGTGCGAATAATATGAAAACAACTAAGCATTTGATCTAGCCTATTCTCAATATATGCAAGCTTCAAATTAGCGAAAACAATATTATTACCAAATATATGAACACAGTTTAAGATTCATTTGCATTTTTTGTCCACACAGTGCAATATACTTAATGCAGAGGCTAAATACTGTATTTTAAAGTCACTTTAAATAATTCTTTTCTGCTATTAATGTGATACACAATGACATTGATCCAAGTTATTATTATTGTTTAGCTGGATATGAACAAGCTAATTACATTATCAGTTAACATCCTTATAAAACCTCACAATTTTATCTTTTGTTTCTAAGATGAGAGTATCCTGTGTGTAATTTGGCTTTCTAGCCATTTGTTCAGTTCACTTTTTTTTTTTTTTTAAGATTTTATTTATTTATTTGACAGACAGAGATCACAAGTAGGCAGAGAGGCAGGGAGAGAGAGAGAGGGAAGCCGACTCCCTGCAGAGCAGAGAGCCCGACACTGGGCTCAATCCCAGGACCCTGGGATCAGGACCTGAGCCGAAGGCAGAGGCTTAACCCACTGAACCACCCAGAGCCCCTGTTCAGTTCAGTTTTGTTTGCTTCTTTGTTTGTCAATGTAACCTGGCATTCTAAACCTTAAAAAGAAAAGAGGAATCAACTGCCTGTACCATTACACACTTCACACTAAATGGCTGTGAACGTAGAGGAAGACCACCTTTAAGACTGGGTTCAGTGCATAAACAATGAATCTTGGAAAACTGAAAAAATAAAGTTAAATTAATAAATAAATAAATAAATAAATAAATAAAAAGAACGTAATTTAGATTCTCTAGGGGCATATCATGAAAATGTCTGAGGAATGGATTTCTAGTCAGCCATCAAGGAACTGCATAACTTCCATTAACTTAGGGCATGAGATAAATGTGTTAATAAGACTATCTAATCTACTTTCATTTGAATTAAGATTTTGAAAAAGAAGTGTTTGAGTCTGTTTACGTACCTTGGATATCTAGTGAATAACATGGAAGATGAAATCATAAGCCTTAAAAAGTATATCTTTACCTCTTGAGGTTTCAGGGATTACACAGGGTAGGTGAAACAAACTTCCATGGTATGTATGAGTTTATGTGAAAAGTGTTTCATTTGGGTAACATTTAAGATAATTCTTGAATAAATGGATACTAAGTAAATATGTAGCCGGGCAATGTAAGAGTTTAGCTCCCCTATGATTTTCTTTTTTTTTTTTTTTACTTATTTGTGAACAGCCCCATGAATATAAGTGGTATTTTTCAATTTCTCCTGAGAGACCTTAGCAACTCCCAAGAATTAGGTTTTCTGGCCTTTACGTGAGAAGTTAAAAACATTTGTTTCCAAAATCTAGACTCCTGAATGTGACTGGGGAGTTTTCCAACACGGTGTTAGAATGGAGGAGTGTCCAATCTTAATAAGGATACCTGAAGACTGGGAAAGAACCAGTCTGTGTGGGTTCTTTAAATAGTAGAGACTTAAAATGTCTGCCAAAGATGCAGAAAATCAATGAATGAGTAAGGAAGTTTGACCTGAAACACAGAAACCTCTAGAATAGCAGAGTAGATTCTCTCTAGGCAAACCTAGAGTCAATGGGATGACCTTCATGAGGGAAAAGTTCATACATGAGAACTTCCAGAGCAGCAGAGCTCTCAAAATTCATTGTACCCTAGAATGAACCATGGTGGCCACTGAGGACCAGACACTTCATTTTTCATTTATCTCTGAGTAGCACTGATTTCACCAGTGCTGTGTTCCTGATATTAATATGGAAAATCATTAACAGAGAAAATCATGAATAGTGATTATTACTGGACCTTTCTCTATTTGAAAGTAAAGGATTACAATTCACTTTAGATTTGATGTTAAAAAGATATTAACTGTGTATCATATACTTTTTAAAAAAGATTTATGGAGTAATTAACAGCTGAGACACAAATACATAGAGGCATAAATAATAAATTGTGTGAAACATTATAAGTGTTAACACAGTCTAAGTTTCCAGAATCATCCAGAAATATTCCAGAGTTTTTCACATAGACCTTATTATAAATGGGTTGTGATTCATCATCTAAGCAAAGCTGAACCTGTGGTTTCATGAAAATTGATGACCCACATCAAAGTCTATAAGAGTATCTATTGAGGAAAGAGACTGGGGAGAAAAAACTGTTTAAAATGCATAAAAATATTAGTCCTGGCTATAAATATTGCAGCAAATTTATGAACAAATTCACAAATGGCAAAGGCACCAGCTATAGGGAATAAGGTTTCCAAACATCTTATTCCCAACCCAGCCATTCACCACTTGAGGTAAAACAGATTATAAAATTAACTGTCAATAGTAGCCCAAGAGCTATTCCCTGTGCTGGTGTGTGCCACACAGCACTTAGATATAATACTACTTATCTCATTGTGTCAGGAGTAAAGTGCATTTCAGAACTGTCCATGTCACACCTCACTGGATTGAATAATAATAATTATAAATGTGACTCTAAAGAACTTTCTTTTTTGTTTGGCTTGGAAAAATGGCTTACCTCGTCAGAGCCATCTGCACAGTCAAAATCTCCATCACACCAGAACCTTGAAGAAACACAGTCCCCATTGGCACAGAGAAAATCTTTCAGTGTGCAGGTCTGTGGCTCTGGGGACACACACAAAAAAATAGCACAGGTTTATTCTATTATATGCAAATTCATTCTAAATTTATATGACATATAGTATGAGGTAGCATTAAGAAAAAAGAGGTTAGCCAAGCAGAATCAATAAATTGTTTAGAAAAAAGTGTTTCATGAAGCATCTTTGGGACATAATATAATGATTTTTCACATTTATTTTAAAGTCATGAATAGAAAGTGGTATTTCAGAAAAAAAAGTATAAAAGACAACAGAGAGCCCACTGTTTAGTAAAAATGTATCATCAAAGTAAAATAAAAGACACAGAAATCTACATATTACATAATAACAAATCTTTTTCAGCTGTTGGAATTCTGTCATTTTTATGTATTTAGTTTAAGTAAGTAAGACGTTTTGTGACTATACTCATGGGGCTATTTACTAATTGAGTAGTAAGTCCAGTCTTTGACTCTTGACTTCTGTTTTGCATTCTAATGACTTCCTAATTCGTCAATTTTGTCTCCAGAAAATCTTGAGTTCATTAAAAAAAGAAGGGCACTGGCGATATTATTGGACATGACTGGGTGGGTAAGAGTGGAAGGGACAGAAGGAGGCTCTTTTTAAAAACTGCCTCTTTGTTTATGCAATGTTTTGCTGATGTTCTGTATAATTTACCTGCCATTTTAGATAATTTGCCAGTTATTGATTTAATTATGATTCACCATCTTACACACAGGATATAAGCCAAAGAGTATGACTTGCTACTTGGCTTACCTCTGATATGGAGTATGTTTCCTCTGAACAATGAAATAGGATTTTATGAATTTTTCCCTGTAGGTAATTGATATGACCGCTAGAAATCATCACTTGTTTAGTTCTTGTTCTCTAAATAGAACTGATATCTGGCATGAGGGAAGACCCCTTTTTGTTTTCTCTACTCATTAACTGTATTTACAGCCGCCTCACACACAATGATACTCTTACTCAAGTGAAGTAGGAATAACAGACATTTAATTTAAGGAGTATCCACACGAAGCCCAATTTTCTGCATAAAGATTGTGGCTCTTTCAGCCTGCATTTGAATATTGCTCTACACAATCACTCAGTTTCTAGCTGTCAGGTAACGGCATCAATGTTTGGTATCATGAAGGCTCTTATATTTCCATACAAAAATCCCTCCTGAGACCAGTGTAATATGGAAAGTGTAATATGTATCAGCATTTTGTTCTGCTTTGGGACTTACCTTCGTCTACAGTGTGACATTCAGTCTATGCATAAGACAAAATGCTATTCAGGGATGAGAAAAAGCCACTTAACAGGAGGATCCCCCTCATTTCTCAACATTCCTTTGTTTAGTGAGCATGACGACTACCGTTTCTCCTTTTGTCTTTGCATTATATGTACATACACCACATTTTAATCTTAAAAAATAATGGTATAAATACTAATATCACTACTTAACAATAACAATTCCTACCAACTAGTGATTGTGTATTTGTTGTGAAGCACTAGGTGAAGTTAATGCTAAGCACAGAAATTAACTCAACAATTAATCCTAACAACTGTATGAGGTAGGTACTATTATAGGACCCTTTCGTCAATGAGTAAACTGAGGCACAGAGAGCATAAAGAACTTTCTCCCAATCACCCTGCAGGCAGAAGAGCTAGTATTGAACTTGAACCTATGCAATCTGATATTAGGGCCTGTACTATTTACTACTAGGCCGTATCATTGCCCCCCATACTATGAAGGAAATAAGGTGTTCACATATACAGATATTAACAATAAAGCCCTGAGATCAAGTTACTTTTTGAAGGTACATGGCTAGCAATGTCTAGTTCATTTAAAAATAAAAATTAAAAAAATAAAAAATTTGTTTTATCATTTCTCCATACTGAAGCCATTTTACCCTCCTGTTAGCAGACATGCAGTTTTCTTCTTAGGGAAAACAAATTATAGTGAAATTAATAAATTAATTAATAAAGAAGTGCTTAATCTATTTAATAGTAGTAAATAACAATCAAAATGATTTTCATTAAAGAATTAGAGAGTATTTTTTAAACACATTGTATTTAAATGTTTACAAGTAACAGCAGTAGAAATATCAAATTTCATGGAGTTGGAGGTATTTGGATGGGATTTTTTTTCCTTTAATATTTTAATTTGACTTTATCTTAACCACAAGTGTGTTCATCATATGCCAAACAACAATGACTTCATAAACTTTGACACACTTTGCTATAGGAAGGGTTGAAGGTTGTTGATCTAAGATGATAACAAGTTATGTTATAAAGTATTTCAAAGCATTTGACTAATAATTCCACAGAACGGGTGTTCTATAGAGACTTTGTTAACATCATTAATTACTCTATTCTGATATGGGCACAGAGGAACTGAGTGATTTGTTGGAAAAAGTTTTTTCAGTGCATATGAAATTCTGTAAGTTTCTAGCATGCTTTTAAGAATGCCAACAAAACCACTTCTCAATAATAATCATGAATTATTTATGCATAAGTGTCATCAAGGAATGGGATAGCTATAGCTAGTCTGTTTTTAACTCTCATCTATATGCCTCAGAATCTTTTGCCACTGGGTGTCTCAAAAGGAAACTCTCTCTTGAGGAAAAGGTAATTTAGTTATAAAAGAAGGTCCTGAGGGATTATATTCTCTTATTGTTTCTTACCTTTGATCTTTTTTGGATAAAGTATAAGACAAATTTTAGATCTTGGAATGATAGCATTTTTCTTGTTAAAAACAAAATTAACAAAACGATTTTATCTGGAAGATAACCCATTTGGAAAGAAAACTTGAGTGTGAAAATTTCCCCAGTATTTCCAAAATGTGTTTCTCACATTAACTTTCTCTGATACTACCTATGTCCCCAGATCTAAAGTAGATAGGGAAACTCATGCATGAATAATTGACCAGGTTTCCATAAATCTTATCTAAACATGCCAAATTAACAAAAAGAAGCCTTTTCAGGACATCTTTTGGAAGGTCGATCTGGATTCTATAGTAAGAATAAAAAATAGGGACATTGTATAGAAAAGTCACTTCCCTCAATACTAAAGGAGGCAAAAACATATAGGCTCAGAACTGAAAAGAGCTTTGGAAGCCATCTTGCACAAAATTGAAGAAACTAAGTTTAGAAAATAAAAGTGACTTTCAAAGCCACAGAGTTAGTGGCAGAGCAGAAAGGCTTCCAGACTTCAATTTCTCTGCTGAGTATATTATCATAAACCCTTGGTGATAAGTTCAAAAGTATATGAATGTGGGTGTAAGCATCTGAGGAGAATTTTTAGAATACAATTAGTATAACTGACATGCTATACAAATAATCTGATATAAATTCAGTGTGAAAGTACTAGAAATTCAAATAAGGCAGACACAGCTTGTCTCTCTACAAAAACCTTAATCTGGTTGATCAAGTTATTTGGTGCTTTTAAATCTATTGGATTGTTAGTTACTTCTTAATAATGCAAAGATGTAAAATAATTTATTTTGCACATCAATTACTTAGAGCGCATACATGCCATATATATTGTATTTGTTGCTGATAAAGATAGTATAGATGATAGATTCGTCAGATATTTCCAAACCTTTGATACAGATGACAAAATAACTTCAATAATAAAAAAAAAAATTTCTTGTTTTTAAGAGCCTAAATCATTGTTGGAGCAGAGTGTCCCTGCTGAACACTTAACAAGGGAAATCATCAGCAGATGATGAAAAAATGACAATGGACTAATTATCCCATATAATTATAAAAAAGTAGAAAGCGTAATGGATTTAAAACATCATTGTAGTTAATTGCTTCACTATTATTCAGATTCTTCCCATATCTATGCCTGGAGTATTTCCAACACAATTTAAAGAATAAACTCATTATATCAGATTCATAAACAAGTAAGTCCAAAAGTGATTTTAACAATACATTGCTAATATTATAAATGTGTCAGGCCCTGTGCTGGACCCTGAGAAATAGCCCTGCTCCATACACTATTTCCAGATATTTAAATAGGAACTAAGATACATGCAAAAAAGAAATGAGTGGTATAATGGAATGCAGGGGAGTGGTTGGTTGACAGAATATGGTCAAATTTTAAAAAAAGATGTTGTTTTTAACTCTAAGACTAATTTATTATCTCTGCTATACTTCTCTATATAGTATTTTCCAACAGTAACCACCAAATGTGAACCAAAATGCACACAATTGACTAATGATATTTAGAAAATGTGTAACAGTATACTGTTATCATTTTTGGTATACTGTTATCATCTATATACCTATTAAAATTAAATTTATATATGTGATGTGTTATATAGAGAGTTGTGATCACAATATGTAAATAGTAACTTATATGTATATATAATAATTTTATTATAATTATATACATGAAATTATAATAGTTTCAACAGATAATGAGAAATTGCAAATATCTTGATAGCATTTTATATGGGAGCAGTATCTTTTCTAAAGCTGACTTCCATATAACCAATTTCTAGGTGTTTTATATAGCTATTATGTATTATTTTCTCTTTTTTCATTGACTGAGCTTCTGTCCATGTAGAACTCCTAGTATTTTCGATGTTTGAAAATTATCATTTCTTTGGGTCTATTCATATGCTGTCTTCAAACACCACCCAGTTATCTAGATCCCTCAGTCCTTCCTCTTACACACTCTTACACGTTTACCATGTAACCAGTTCTCTGATACTGGTCCTGTGTATGCCCTCTAACCTACCATGTCACAACTATAACATGCTTCCTTCTTGTTCACTGTCATTAGTCTCCTGCAAATTCATCAATGTTGCTGTCTTACGCCACATGATCAGAATGAATGGGAACTAAAACTGAGTCACACATAATTGGGTAGTTTATACTGCAATGCTTGGTATTGTAGCCACTCTCTTGCTTTTTCTTCAGGGTTCTGTGGCTACAGTGATTTATCACTAACTTTTTCCAGTGACGAGTGAGAGGCATGTTCCTTCTTGTGCTCTTGCCTAAAAAAAACGACTTTTAGGAGTTGCCAGCAAAACCATTCTCAACCACCTAGGAAACCCCAGCAGACTCAGAAACAGGTTATTTCCACCCTTCATTCTTCTTCCCCTTCTTCTCCAGTTTAGCAGTAACCTAACCAACCACCCCTTGAACAAAGTATTTTCAAAGATGTAAGTTTCCAACGTGAACTTCCCACTTCCCCTCTCCTGTTCTCAACATCCTTCAATGTTAAGGCACTTCTTCTCAGGTGTCTTATTGACAAGTAACACTCAAGGTATCTAAAATTAAGCTAAATAGTTTTCTGTATATTTAAGCACCAAAACAGAAGTGAATCAAACAGAAAGAGTGTATATAATTGCTTCATTTTTGTATTTGATCTTCTATTCCTGCCACTCTTACCTCATTAGGTTTTTATTTTAATCACTGGATAGAATCTGAAAACCTGCTTTAAAAAAGAATCTGGAACACTCTAATGACTCTTTGAGATATATATATATATATATATATATATATATATATATATATATATACACACACATACATATATATGTACATATATATGTATATATATATGTATTTTTTTAAAGATTTTATTTATTTGAGAGAGAGATAGAGACAGTGAGAGAAGGAACACAAGCAGGGGGAGTGGGAGGGGGAGAATCAGGCCTCCCACTGAGCAGGGAGCCTGATGCAGGGCTCAATCCCAGGACCCTGGGATCATGACCTGAGCTGAAGGCAGATGCTTAAGGACTGAGCCACCCAGGCACCCCTCTTTGCAATATTTTTTACCTTTTTAAAGAGTAAGATCGGTTGAGATATCTATATGTGAAGGAGTAATAAAAGGTCCCCAAATCAGAGTATTCTATAATCCTAGTGATCCAGAGATTTCATACTTAATGTACCTGATGCTCAAACACCAGTCAGATTAAGTTTCAAAAGTTATTTTCAAAAAATTTGATAATCTGCAAATTGAATATCCAAGTGGTTTATTAAGGCTGTGACTCTACTAATTATACGCTTTCGTAGAAAATGTTCCTATGTTTTAACATAACAATATCTATTTCATCTCCTGTGTCTTGGGAAATGAATACTCTTAGTCCAATGTGTAAGAGTAGACACTATAGTTATCATCGAATCCTTTCTGGAAGTAAGCAAAATATAAATATTTAATAAATGGAATTTGATTATTATCTTATTTTAAAACATGACTATATTGTTTTCTTTGTTTAAACAGCACTGTGAGAAAGTGCTGGTAGGAAATATATTCAGAAATTAATGCTAGAATATAAAGATGTTGTCACAATTTTACATACTGCCATACTTTCTAGAAAATAAAATTGTTGGACAATTATTGTCTTTTAAATTTATTACATAAAAATGCAGGAGGCAGATGATGATAATAGTGTTATTCTATTTTCAGAGAAAAGCATCCTGAATACATATGGTGTTCACCACTCCAGAGAGAATAAAAGATATTTCGCTGAAAGATGCTCATGGGTAAATTTGTAGTGTAAAAGGATTTGAGACTGAAATGAAATGAATACCATCCCCTAAAGAATGATATGTTTTGTTCTGTCTCCACATCATTCAGCCCTTTGTATGAACTTGCATCAAGGGCTCACTTCATTGCATGCTAATGGGTTGCATTAAACCTCATGATACTTTCATACCAATTCTGATAACTATAAGAAAATAACTCCCAGTATGTGCATTTCAATAATTCTACCATTTGAGATTCAGGTCAATTTAGTCTGGATATTCTTGCCCAAATGTGAATATATGTATAAAAATGTGAGCTGCAGGACAGATAGGTTCAAATTCATACCTTAACTGAACTAAAAATTGCTATCCTGCTTATTGAATATGCTGTCAAGCTCGCAGTGTTCTCAAGCGAGAGTTACTTACTACAGTTTTCTTCATCTGAATTATCACTGCAGTCATTTTGGCTATCACACCGCCAGTGATCTGGAATACAGTTGTTGTTTCTACACTGGAATTCATGAGGCCCACAAGTCTTTTTATCTGTAAGAGAAAGAGCCAGAGATTGTGTTGTTGACTTCCACGAAGTCACTGTCATGCCAAATCCAGGGTATATGACATTACCTCAGACCTTAATTCAGTTACTAACTGAGAAGCATCTTTAAGAAAAGCCGAAGGCAAGTGCTAAATAAAATTCATGCTAATGTCTTGTTTTGTGTTGTTTTCTAGTCTTGCTTTCATCACTAGCTAATTACAAAGCAACTGATTGGCCCACCCACATAAAGTCAACATAAATCAATGAAAAAAAATCAAAACTATTAAGAACTAACATTCTCTTTAGCACTCCCTCCCTAAGCCATCTTCTATTTCTTCTGTAAGGCAGCAGAAAGAAATGGTTATTAGTCAGAACCTGAGATTGTCATCTTACCTTTCTCCCTACCTCTCAACTGATCTAAACTCAGAGAGTATAATAAAGTCTAACGTGTACAGATATTGAAAAATAATAAAGTGCCATCTCACTTGAACTCCTTAATAATCCCACTGGGTGCAAGGACTGGATTTAACTAGCCTTTCACTTTACAGATGATGGAAGACAGACTTAGAGTTTAGAAGCTTGATGAATTTTTACTATCATTAAATGGCATAGTCAATATATATGTTTGTGTGTTTTTACTCTTGCTTTAGTAGTCTTTACAACATAATCTGTGTCCATAATGGAGCCAGAATCAGAATGCATGCAATAAGAATTTATTTAAAGTTAGATTACTCATTCTTAAATTTCTGTAAGAGTAATAGCTAACTGTATGTAGTCTAAAGCACTGCATCTTAAACTTCAATGTACATATATATAAATTACTTGGGAATTTTGCTAAAATGAAGACAGTGATTGAGTAGATCTGGATTTCTAAGAAGCTCTCCAGTGATGACATTCTCCTTAGGTCTATGAAATATACTGAGTAGCAAGGGCCTGAAATATATAGATGGGATAAATTCGATAATAAAATTATAAATGTCAACGTATAATTTAGGACACATTCTCCTTTCATATACTTAGATCGACTCCATATTCTCACCTGTATTAGAGATCTACAGTGAGTTTAACAACTCAGACAAGTAAAATAAATTAATTAAAGGAGAAGATAAGCTATTTGTTACTAGTTGGTACTCTTTAAAATATCTTATAAAATTCAAACTCAAATAAGATTATGAAAGCAAAAGTGATTTAGATATAATTAGAAAATTAAATAATGAACATCTATTGAGGATCAACCCACCTCTTGGTAAGCATTTTCATAAACATGATCATATTCAATTCTCATAACATCCCTCAGAAGTATTGTTATATGCATTTAAATGAATGAGACAATAACTCTCAAAGAGTTTAAGTAATTTGTCCAATATTACAAAAGGTATTAAACGGCAATGGAGAAGTTTATATCCAGATCTTACTCCAAAAATTTTTAATATTTCTGTGAAAATTCTCGAGACAAAATTCAAATTTTTCAAACTTGTCAAATTTGTCTACAGATAGATAGATATCTTTATATATGTCCATATATAAAAAGCCTGTCTGTCCCTTTCTTCTTCCCTCCCTTTCTTCATTGTAGCCTACCTGCCTGCTAATGATTACTCAGATCCCAACTTCTGTCATACAGTGCGGTATTTGGTGATATATCCTTTTTGCCTATGTTATAGGTAAATTTAGATTTAAAAATTGGCTTAAAATTTGTAGATGTTCTAACAGCATTTGGCACATTTCACTCAATCAAGAATTGTGTTAGGATGATTGGAAACTTAAACAATGACCATTGAAAATATGGGGTTTGGGGTTTGGTACTGAACTTTGTAGATGGTCGTTATATTTTGGCATTTAAAACAAAATTCTCTGAGATCACTATTCTATGTTTGTTTAATATGGCTTTATTTATTCTTTCTGTGTTGCTTGCATTATTTTTTAAGTATTATTTTAAAATTTTAGAATATAAGAAAGTCAGAAAGATCAGACCTGAGCATACAAATAGACTATAGGACCTAGTATTACAACATTAGCTCCAAGCAATTTCCCATGGATACAAAGTATCAAAGCAACAAGTATTTTTTAGTTGTTTTTTTTTTCCTGCATCCTATTTGTACTTTTTTCCCTACAATGTTAAATATTTGTATCATATTTTGTGTTTGAAAGAGATCTGCATTTATCTCTTAACAAAAACAAGTTAAAGTTCATTGCAAAGATTTCCATTTGGGGCATGCAAAAACAGTAACATTGAAAGGTTAATTGCCTTATGCAAGGTTATTCAAATTTTATGTTTCCAAATTATTTAACTTTTTGATCAATGACATTGTTTATACAAATTACAAATGCAAACTATACAATCCGTATAGCCTTGTTCTGTATTTAAAGTCTCCCTTGAGGAGATTAATGCAAATATAAATGTAAGTATATTTTTTAATAGGAAAATGTATGATCAAGTTAAAGCAGCAGTTCTCAAATTGGCTACACATGAAAATCACCTAGTAAACTTAAAAATCCCTTTTACCAGTCAATATCCCACATCAATAAAGTCAGATTCTCTAGGATGTAACCTAGACATCGGTATTTTTATGAAAACTTTATGACTGATTCCAATGAACAGCCAAGATTGAAAATCACTGGCAAAAAAAACTGATTGAAGAACAGAACATATATAATTCCACATTATAATACTCTACAGTAATTAATATAAAATGTTCACAATATGAAGTTTTCTATTAATTCAAATTATTATATAGCTTTGGAACAATGTGTTATTTTTGGAGGATATTATAGAGAAAACGAGTATCTGAAAACTTGTATTTTTTTTTAATTTAAAATATTTTCACATGAATTACAGATACTACTAAAAATTTGATCCTCCCAGGGGGACTACCAAAATGTAGAACTGTATATGGTGTATACTGTGATACTACTGGCACTTATATACGTAAGGGTGACTTCTGAAAAAAAAAAAAAAAAAATCTGGTGTCTGTGATGTTTTTTGAGCCAGAACTGAGGAAGTGGATTGGGATACAGGAGTGGAAGATAAATTTAAGTTTCTCATTGTGCCAAAAGAAATCCAAAGGAATGTACAAACTACTGGAAGCAATAAGTTAATTTGGTAAGGCTACAGGATACAAGGACTGTATATATATATATATAAATATATATTATATATATATATATAAAAAATTATATTTCTCTATATTAGGAATAACCAGAAATGAAATTTGAAAAAAAGAAAACTTTTACAATAAAATAACAAATACCTAGGAATAAAACTAGTGAAAGTTGTGTAATATCTTCATACTGGAAAGTGTAAAACACTGAGAAACTGTAAAACACTGAGAAAAATTGAACAATGCTTAAGAAATGCAAAAATATATCATGCCCATAGATTAGAATACTTGAAATTTTTAAAACTTTCAAATTAATATAAAGAATTCAATCTCTATCAAAATTCTAACTTGTTATTTTAAAGAAATAGATTATCCTAAAATTATACTGAACTGTAAAGGATTTAGAATAATAAACCAATACTGAAAAAGAGGAAAAAGTTGGAAAATTTACAATATCTGATTTCAAGAGTTTCTATAAAGCTATAGTAATTGAGAAAATGTAGTAGTAAGCAAAATGAAACCAGAAATATAAGCAAATACATGTGGTCATTTTCAATAAGGACTCAAGTCAATTTAATGGACCAAAAAAATTTCTTTTTAGTGAATATTGATGAAAAAAGTGGCTAGCCATAAGAAAAACACAAATGTCAACCCATCATACTCCATACAAAAAAATTAATCTGAGGTGATTATAAACATAATGAACATGGAAAAATATTTTCATAATCTTGGAGTAGGCAAATATTTCTTGGGCAGAACACAAAAAGAATTAATAATACACAGAAAGTTGGTACATTTGCCTTCAGAAAATTAAAAAGTTTTATTCTTTAAAAGATATCATTAAGAAAATGAATAGGCAAGCAACATATTAAAAAAAATATTTGCATACGATATATCTGGGAAATTACTTCGGTCCAGAATATATAGAAATTCTCATATCTTATACATTAACAGACAAAACACTTGAAAAGATACTTCACCAAATAAAAGATATTTGAATGCCAAATATAGGATCTCAAAATCATCAGTCATGAATGTGGTGCGAATTCAAACCAGGTGATACCACTAAATACTTAGTGAAATTGCTCAAATCAAAAAGGCCGCACTAAATTTTCATGAGAATACAGAGGACTTGAAACTCTCTCTTCTGGTTCTTAAAAGGTAAACATAAAGTTACCCTATAACCCAGCAATTTTACATCTAAGTGTTCATGAAAAACGAAAACAAACATTCACAAAATAAATTCGTACAAGAAGAATAAGTTCGTAACAGCAGCCTTATTTGTAGTAATCAGCATCTAAGATATTCCAAGTGAGAATATATCCAAGCGACTGAAAACTACTCAGATATAAAATAATAAATTCTTGAGATATAACTTAGAAATGTTTTTAAAACTTCATGCAAATGAAAAATTCACAGGCAAAATTGTAAATACTAAATGCATTTATGTATATGACATCCAAATACAAGCAAAAGTAATCTGCGGTGTTGGAGAGGAATTGGAGGTTGTAAAGGGGAATGTTAGGGGAATTGACTAAAAGGAGCATGAGGGAACTTTCTAGGGGGATGGAAGTGTTCTGGATCTTATTTTGGTGTTTGTTGAATGCTGTATAAAATTGCCAAAATTAAAGTGAACATTTTAGATCTGAGCATATAATTTTAATTACATTTTAATTAAAAATTACTTCACTATTAGATTGGAAGGCATTTGGAAAATCCAAACATTTAGACTACGGTAAAGAATTATTCATTTTGTCCCTCAATGCTCAGGTATATTCAAGACCAAAGGGTAGTCTGAAAAAGCATTCTGTTAAAAAATTATTTAAAGTCTCAAAATTTAAATATTCCACACTAAGTGTAAACAACAGCATGTATGTTTTACATACAAATGTCTCCAGAGATTTTTTTAT